TAATAATCTTTGAAAGAACGCTGACAACGCTGTTGATTTTACCGTTACTTAATTATGCCCCTTCGAACCACCACTTTGAGCCAGATGCCGTGTTTTAACTTTTTTCGGACTGTGACACAATTGTCTTGAGAAAAATGCACTATTTTCTCGGGCTCTGGAAAGAAGATCTTCCACAGACTGTTGCGACCATTCTAAGAAATTCATATAACCATCTTCCCTGAAGAACAAGTAAAGAAAGAAACTTGTGATAATAGAAACTAGTGATCTGGAGCCGTAGATGTTTTTATAAAGAACAGTAATGATTGTAACATTTCGCACCAGTCTGCAAGGAGCATCTTTCTCACTGAAAATAACACCGGAAGAAGGCGGGAGAGGAGGGGGGGGGGGGGTATGCTGGATTCACAGAAACGTAATTGGTGACCTTGAATATCATATACGTGTTAACGTCAGCACACCCTGGGTGTCACAGAGCGAAGACAGTGCCTAACCCAACTCCAGTACAGCAGCACCCCCTCCCCCCTCAGGGTACCAGTCTCTGTGGCAAAACCTCTTTTAAATAGTGTCTAAACTCCAAATATAAGAGGAATGTTACAAGAATTAAGCCTCACAAGTTAAAAAGGGAAACGCAGCACAAGGACGAAGAAAACCGATTTAACTCTCGCACCGCCTCGATCACGACAGGAAGTTGAAGACTCCGCCTTACCCGAACATTATTGAACCTGGGGATTTGTTGATTTAACTTTTTCGTGTTCATTAATTTGGGCTGATAGCAAAGAATAAACAGTTCTGATATTTCAAGTAATAGAGTCATAAATCATGCTGAATCTTCAAAGTGAAAACACCGTAAAAGATGACAGTCCAACCATGATTATATATGTAAATGAATGCTGTTCACTGTGATAAATATAAGTGATATCAAAAAAGTTAAATGAAACAAACAAATAGTTATACACCTACGACATATATATGTAGCAAGCACATAAAAGACTGGACAAGCATGTAAATGCAGAATCAAATAAAAATTGTTTATCATATTAATGCGGTTTTTAGTATTGATTTGTATAACGGTAGTGGTACTGAGACTTCAATTTGAGTAAAAAATTAACAAAACTTTAATCAAAGCGGATCTTCAACAGGAACACCCCTTGCCTTAGTGAAAAATGTGTCGATTTTCCTTATCCAGCTGATACACTCTCTCCTCTTTTCAGATGTTTTTTTTTCTAATAAAAATGTGCATTTGAGCTTCCCAAGACAACCCCTCCCCACCTCTCGCTTTTGTAAGTGATTTTGAATTGTTCAATCTCAGTTTACATGGCGCGCCAAAGTCACATCTCTATTTATAATTTAGACCAAACAAATAATGTAACCGAATTTTTAGGAAAAATTTCCCCTTTTTTCCCAAATAAAAATACATTGGGTTTTATTTTGAAAGGTGAAAAAAATATGCAGTGTACCCATAGGGCTTGTCATCTCCTCCATCCTAAAAGTAACATAAAATAAAAAGTCACCCGACCATGTAAGATAAGAAATCTACCTTCCATTTTCCAACAGCAGAAATTCTTGTTGCAGAATAAATGTTTATGTTGAATATTTTGTTTTAAAACTGCTGTTGCAATTCAGCGCGTAATAAAAGGAAATACTATATGTAAAGAGTGAGAAACAAAAAATTAAAACTGGTATATAAAAAGAGAAACTACTTCTAAATATTATTTTGCGGTATAATTATATAAATATACCTACCTCCTCCCTCGCTCTTTTATGTGCTCTTTCCACTATGACAAAGGTGAGGTTTATTTTTAGCTCTTCGCTTTAAAATTAGGTTATGCTACGTCAGCATGCGAAAACGAGGCCGGGATTTACCTAGCGTGAAGAATGAGGACCAAGACGTTCATATTCTGTGTATTTATAACACGGTAGTNAAAATTCGAGAAATGGATTATTACATGAACATTGCCCTTTAAGCATAATGTACTTTGGCATCAGAATTGACAGTAGCCTATTTTGTGCATTGTTATTGTCTGCTTTTTGTCTGTACATTTGACAGCTTTGCTGCCTTGTTTCTATTAATCTCTCTTGACAATCAGTAGACAGTGACACATTCAATCACAAACCTCTTAGTCCTCAGTTTTCCTGAATTAAAATCTTTAAAGTACAGTAGATTATGTGGGCACCACCATGGCACCACCATCTTTACTCAAGATTTATCTTTTCAATTTAATATAGCTTACTGATATCGTTCCGGGGCATAGAAGACCTTCATTTTGGTCCTTTAATCTCCGATAAGATCTGCATTTTGTACATACAAACACCAGCCATTTTCATTTTAAAAGTATGTCCCTTTTACATTTTGCACAAGTTCCAGCTCTTTTCCAGTGTATCTCATGCAATTTAACTCTCAGTTTTATCAGTTCATACACTCTTTGCACTATTCATTTCTTAGTTTATTCCTGTATTAACTTACTGTTTTCTTTTAAAAAAAATTATTACAAATGTTTTTCTAGATGCAAAAGATAATGTTGTTTCAGCAAGCTTTATAATTTAGCAATTAGAAACTCAGATAGAGTATGTTATTTTTCAAATATTCAAAAATTATTCTAAAAAATACTAAAATAATAGCAAGCAATATATAGATGTCAGTGAAAAATCAAATGGCTAGAAATTTAACCCTGGGAGACCATCTCTGCCATCTCATCCATTTTTTCATCTTTTCCCGGTGGACCTTGAGGGCAACAATTACTGCCAACCGAAAGTGGAATTCCCAGTTGGTACTGTTAAGGATGTGTTATCTTGAATTTGAACTTCAAATAATCTACCAGAGCATCTAGAATGCACGGCTGATTTCATTACGCCAAAGACACCTAACGGTTGTTCGTTTATGCACCTTTTAAAAAAAAAGTATTTAGCTTGTAAGTCACACAAGCCAAGCAACTAAACTCTTACTTCACGAAAACTGTTGTGTTAGGATGCAACATCTTACATGACCCAAAAATAAATAGTATATTCACAGTTGTGAGGTACCTGTACGTCTTTTGGTTAAGTAATGGGTTCTGTTATCACCATTATTAAAGTATTGGGAAGTAGGGTTTTCAGTGTTTGATGTCAGTTCTTGCATTTTACGGTTTATTTCCTGTATATGGGCATAAATTCAGGTATTTTTATTAATGCAGTAGGTTATAAAATATTTAAAGATATTCATAAGCATCTGTCTTCAGACTCTACTATTTCTTATTTTATAATAAAATCTTAAATCTTTTGCTATTTTCAAATTTCTTTTACTCTGCAACTATGATATCATCTTGATTCAGATTTTTTTATTGCAATTCAATAATGAGAATATATATTATAAGAACATTTAAAGTTCTAGTTCTGTTGCCTGCTTTTTCTAGTTCTCATTTTCTATTTTGATTGTGAAAACACCTGCTTCCAATTTCTTAAAGTTGGAAAAATTTGCTTTAAACCTGTGGTTTTCCTTTCTCATCATTTGTCTTACATATTTTAGTTGGATTATCACTAGTTCAGGCCTACCCAACAACCAGACTCGGCACCTAAGGATCCTGAATTAACCGGTATATCGGATCACACTACCCGTTTTCAAGGTGTGTGTCAGATCGTATTTCGGAGTATCAGCCAGAACACCGACAGGATGAGCCCTGACATGCTCGGCTGTCACCTTGATTGGATAGTAAACGATTGTCGTAAAATCGCTATATGATTTAAAAACCGGGTGCATAATTTTGAAAGCCACCTAGATGAACCTTAGACTGCCACATTAATCTAATACAATGCAAAAAAGCCCTATCAAAAGTGGTTAAAACATTCAAACCGAATGTCGTAAAGTCCCCATATATCCCCATAGAGACAATAAAATAGAGTACTCTAAAGTGAGAGTACAGTTTAAGGTTGTTCAGCCGAGTGTGGATGAGCCTGCAGTCGTGCTACAAAATTTGTTCTGGGGGATGATACTCCGAAATGCGATCTGACACACACCTTGAAAACGGGTAGCATGGTCCGATATACCGGTTAATTCAGGATCCTTAGGTGCCGAGTCTGGTAGTTGGGTAGGCCTGTAGTTGTTGCCTGTCAAGTCTTTCAACCAGTTTCATCAGTGCATCATCACTAACTTCAACATGGTGTTGTGCATTTGGTGTCAGTGCTGTCATATCTACAGCATGGTTACAATGATAAACATGGTCTTCACCATGGTGTATGCCATTACAACGATTTGTTTAAGTAATGTATCATCCTATTCTGGGTCCTTGACTTAAAGTTTAAATATGATATGTTTTTGTTTATATAAAGTGATATATACCGGTATATGTATCCATTAGTTCGTTTGACACAATTTGATATAAGAGAGCTTTAACTGTTTAAGGTGATCTTTTTCATGTATATCCCTAATCAATTAAGATATTGTGTGGTGCACATTTAGTATAATGGTAAAAAATGACATAATTGTATTAAGACTATTAAAGTATGGAAAGGAACAGGAACACTGTGCAGAAAAGAAAAAATAAGCTCTTCACAGTTACTTTATTACTCTACAGACACAAACAAACAGATCAAAAACATATAGTTATATTTGGAATCTTTAATTGAATTATCATGAATATATCAAAACCCTAAACTAAATGTAGGTCATTTAAACATTTTTGCTTAATTTACTAAATTGCTGTTGAAAATTAAATGGAAATTGTCTGTAACACAAAGCTGCCATTGAAGTACTAGTACTAGCCTAATAAAAATGTATCTTTTAATCAGCAATTTTACTGGTAGCTATATATTCTAGGAATATATAAGCACATTTAAATTCAACATTTCAGTAACCTTTTACTTACGTAGGTTATTATATTGAAAATTAGCACAGTCCATTCTTGTCTTAGTCACAGCTGTGTCATTCATTCAGCTTATTTATTGTCACCGTTGAGTACAGACAACACATTTCTGTCTTGTTTATGGTCATTGTAAAGTGCCAATATTATGAACCATATTAATCTTCTTCACTATTTACTGCAGACAACACAGGATACTTCTCTTCCATCCACATATGGTGGACAGGGGAGAGAACCACATTTAGCCTCAGCAGCATAGAACAAGGCACCATTTTTGTTTTCATGACCTCCAGCTACCACTTCTGGAGCTTCATCAAGGCAGACAAACTCTGAGCGCTGCTCTACATCGTGATTTGATACCAGGTATCCATTGTACTCTGTTGTCCACCCAGCTGGACATGTCTTCTTGGCTGGTATCATCACATGACTGGGACGTGTTTGGGTGTAGCATACAGCACAGGGGGCATCATGGTTGAAAAAATTCTGACCTCCTGTATTGGATGTTGAAAATATGTTAGGCTTAACATATTCATATTCCACACCATGTATGTAAGAACCTAAATCTTGCCCTCCATCTTGGTATTTTCCCCACTCTGGTGTCTGTGGTAAACACAGGTAATTACTGCCTCCTCCAGATTTGCTGTAATGGGATCCAGCAGATATCCCTGCAGATTTAAAAAAAGCTATAAAATCTATTTTCAATAAAGATATACCATAGGTGTCAATTTTTAAATTGAATATATATATATATATATATCATTGTTATCTTGAAGTAGAATAGAACTTCACTAAGAAAAGGCCAGTATTTTTATCAATTTACCTTTGTATAAAAGTTTTGAATGTGTTGAACAAGTTGTTCTGCCCCAGCGTGTGTAAACTGCCCCACCATGACTGGTATTGGCTGGTGAACCTGAAAACATACATTTTTAACCTAGAGAACCATTTTGTATACTTGCCCTCACCATGGCTAGTAGTGCTCTTACATGTACAACAGATATCATAAAAATGTACACTTTCAGGGGCGGATCCAGAGCTATTTTCTGACAGTCTTCCAAATTATCTTTGTTGATCCATCCTCATTTTTGACCGTCTTCTGACAGAAAAAATTAGATACCCGTCAATGTAAACTTGAAAATCTGACCGTCTTCCTGAAAACCCAGAAGACGGCCTCAATCTGCCCCTGACTTTCAAATCCATCCATCCATGTGTGTCATCTCTTCTCAGGTTGATGTGAAATGACTTTCAATCTTGTCCTGTTCTTAGCTTCATTTGTGCACTCTTCCATTGGTTTACTTGTCCATCTTTTGATGTCATCCATGTTAGTTGTTGTCTCCCTCTCCTACGTGTTCCTTCGACCTTTCCCTGTAGGACATGCTTGCAGATGGTTTCATGCCTGGCTATGTGACCAAAGTATTGCACTTTCCTGCATTGTATGTCTGCAAATCAAGTTGGTTTATTGACAGACAATTGCTTACACATTTCTTCATTTGTGAGCTTTTGTGTCCAGCTTATTCTTCCCATCCTTCTGTATATTCACATTTTAAATGCCTTGATTCTTCTTTTTATGTCCTTGTTAAATGTCTGGGTCTCACAGCTGTATGTTAGGATGGGAATTTTGTTAGACTTCACAAGTCTGAGTCTTGGGTTAAAAGAGCTATAGTGTTCCTGGTGGTAAGTAAATATAATTTTTTTTTAACTGTAATTTTGTCATGCCAATGCATTCTTTAATTTCCTGCACATTTTTGACATCTCCTGTGTATTTCTGTTCCAGATATTTGAAAATCACAACCTGTTGCAGTCTTTTAACATCGATGGTTATGTTTGTCTCTATTGGATTTTTAATGACCTTGGTTTTATTGGTATTCATATCCAGTCCTGCCTGTTCAATATTTGTTTTGACTTTGTTTATAAGGGCCCGTAAGTTTTCTTCATTCTCTGCAGTAAGGACTGTATCATCAGCTTATCTGAGGTTGTTGATATTCCTCCCTCCTATGTTTATTCCTAGGCAGTCTTTGCTCATTCAGAAAATAAGCTCTTTCGAAACAAACATTTTAATGTCATTGATCAACTTTCTGTTGCACAGCAATCTTTAGCCCATTCACAAGTATAGTACCCTAGGTTCTAGATTCCGGTATTGCCAGCTCGATCTTGATTTCATATATAACCCATAGTAGCAATACCAGGTAAAAGTAAAAGCGACTCCACCACAAGGTATATTTAGCAAGCTATAGCTTTTACGTTGCTCTGACACTCAGGGTAAAGTATAGTTGTAGCATAACTAAACAAGNGACGACAGACGCAGGTGATGGCAATATGTACAGACACATCTGTGTCTGTACATAAAAAGTAAAACCTTCGATAAAATGGAAAAAAATTTAATCCTTTAATTAAGTCGGTGGAGAGGAATGTAGAACATATTCCCCAAATTAAAAAAAAAAAAAAATTAAAAGGAAGAGGTTCACATAGTTAAAGCAGTGGACAAACCTGTAGGTGGCACCCCTATCTGAGCTCCAATTTGTCCCAGCATTTGTTTGAGGGTATCCAATGTTAGAGATCCTGGGTCCCCTTTAGGTCCAGGTGGTCCCTTGGGAAATTGAACAAAAATATTGGATATGCTATAATTTCACATAGGAATGTATATTAACAGAATTATAAACTGGTGATATTAATTACAGATCTTTTATCTGTGAGTTGATTATTGAAAATTGAACAAATAGCTTGGAACTGCTATTTCACATAACAAAATTATTAATGGTGATATAAATTTTAGATCTTTTATCTTTGAGTTGATTATTTGGAATATATCATGTAAAGAATATTTTCTGATGTTTACTAGTATCTCATGGAACACCTAATATTTCTTATTAAAAGACTGTGCACTTTCATGATTATAAGAAGTAGAAAACACTCTAATGTGCATTTTCTTGATATTTCAAGAAGTGGACATCATAATTATTAGATTGCATTATTGTCTAAATTTCAATCAAAACTAACATAAATATTCAACCAAAATTTTGAAATACAAAGCTATTGAATGCATAGTTATTATGCTAAGTTTTACCTGTATTCCATCTCTGCCATCTTTACCATCTCTCCCAGGTAATCCAGGTGGTCCCTGAACACTGCTCCTTGAGGAGTTGCCAACTGAAAAGTATATCTTGTAATAATAATTTGGATAGATTTCTGTGGATAACAACTTTGTCTTCTTGGAATCAATTAATGCATTTCACAATTCATCTGTCACTTCGGACAGTTACCTCATCATTCACAAGACATAGCTGTCAATCTTCACAACTTTGGGTCAAACATAGCCGATAGGTGACCTCACCCAGAATCAATAATTGTATAATACCAAGGAGTTATAACTCCTTGATAATACTAAGTAGTGCAGCTAAATTAAAATACGAATTAGCATTTCATATTGCATCTGATATTTTACTGTCACTGCTAAGTGATAATTCTTCATGGTGTTTGGCATATTTAAAATGAAAATTTTATTGTTTAGAAAGAAAAAGCATCAATTGAGAAGACCTTATGTGATAGCAAAATGTTTTCTGCTTTAAGCCATAATATAGAGAGCAGACCTACCGTTAACTTGTAGTGGTGACTGATATCCAAGCAGTCCAATGATTTGTTTGAGACTGTCTACTGTTAAACCTGGGTTCTGTGGATTAATTTAAGATATTTGTAAGATAAAGTGGGGAAGATCACATTCTGTCATTTTACACAAGTTGAATGTTAAAATTCAATTATATATATATATATATCAAAATTTATTTTTATGTGATGTTTACTAGACGTCATTTCATTATCAATTTAAATTTATAAGTTCGTACGTCAAATTTCCACAGCTTCATACTCTTGAAGCAATGGCTAAATATTATATAATTATTACAAAAATCATATATTATGGCATACAATTTTATTTAAGAAAGAAAAGTTATTCTAAAAGTTATGTAATTTGTTATAAATGAAGATGTATAGAGTAAAATTACCTGAATTCCATCTTTCCCATCTTTCCCATCCTTGCCATCCTTTCCATCTTTCCCCGGGGGTCCCTGGGGTCCTTGTACACACCCTGAACTTGCCACTAAAATATAGGACACAGATGCTCAGTTTCAGCATAGGGATACATTCTTATGTTATCTGTCACTTTAAATATTTTCTGGGTTGTCCCATTGTGATTGCTGCACATTTTTCGATAAACAATTTTTTTGACATTGTGGGTGATTGGTTACCTCAACTTAGGCTTCATCGATAACTGTCTTGGTCAGAAGAATGGCTTAAATACATCTACTAGTTATTATGTTGTGGCTACAATTACAGAAATAAGCATCTGATAAATAAATTGTAGTTTTATGATTCCCTGTTATTAAATTTGGGGTATATTCCTTTAATCTTGCAGTAATTTTATCAAGATTTATGATATTTGGTTTCGTAACAATTTTGATTAAACAAAAAGGGTCAAAAAGTCAATTTAAGACATCAACAAATAATGTTAGAGCTTACAGTTTCCTTGCTGCACTTGTCTCTTGGTAATAGAATGGTGAAAGTTTGCTGCATTTTGCCCAGGAGCAGTGATTGTTTGTGCATCAAGCTTCAACTTGATTTTTTGAATATCTGACTAATTTTTAAATTAAAAAGGATTTGATTAGTCTTTTTTACTATAGATATGTCAATATCAGTAAGATTATAGAATGTAGGCTGTTAAAGATGTTAATTTTTTATTATTGACAGCAGTGAAGAGAGACAAGGGATTGAACTATTTGAAAATTCACAATTATACAATTAGGCAGAATTTGAAGTACAAATTACCTTAAGTTGTTTGTTTTCCTGTTTTACTGCAGCAACCTCCACCTCCAACCTTTTCAGGAATGCTATCTCTCGTTCTTGCTTGTCCACTCTTTCAACCAGTTTCATCAACACATCATTATTGACATCAGCATGATGTTGTAAAGTTGATGCAGAGACAGTAGCAACAAAAATGGCAGTGAATACATGAAAATACATGATGTACACCTGTCTGTAGCAGCCAAGACGCTAACCTGGGTGAGGCAATGAAAACTCTTATATTGCTTAAGCCATGATTTATTGAATGGACATGTCAAACGTTTACAATGTGGGTCTAAGAAAGTTGGTTTTCTACAAATATTTGATAACTGATAGTTTAAGGGCAGCAGCTTATAATTTTTCTATAAATCATGTGTAACTCTTGATAACCAGTGACATTTTCAATCACAAATCTCTTTCTCCTCAGTTTTCCTTAACTATACTTTTTGAAGTAAGTTATGCCTGGACACCACCAGGTTCTCTTTTATATATATATTACTGAATTTGTCCAGGCACCTGGAAGCACTAAACTTTAAATATCAAATAACTTTAATATATTGTATGTACAAACATCTAACATTTATAATAATTAAGTAAGCATGAGCAAAAATGTTCATTAGCTTGGTAGAGTGTCAACATCTACTCACATCAGTCTGATGAATGCCTTCGTCTAGGTTGGCCGTAAGCTAGTGTTTGATAGTTTTTATTTATGTTCTTACATATTTATAGATTTTTTTTTTACATTTTACCCACATGATACCTGTTCTCTAATGTACATGTATGTAATGTAAATGAGCTGTAAAAGCTACAGTAACAGTTGTTTCTTTGTTTGTTTTGGTTCCAAAACATTTTGCACTATTTATTTCTTATTTGATTCCTATAATAATAAACTGAATATTTTCTCGATCACCATTCTTTCCTTCAAATTATGTTTTCTAGATGGAAGAGGTAGCATGATATAATTGTTTCAAACATTCCAAAATCATTCTGAAGAAATATTAAAATTATTGTGCAAGCACACACATATACCAGTTAAAAATCGTAAGTGGTTAGGAAAACTGTTTTAAATTAATCTGAATTGGTAACCTACACAAGTGTTAAAACACTATCAGTTTGAAAATATATTTTCCATTGATACTTCCAGCACCTATTTTGCTAGCCCTTATTATCCTTGGAATCTTGAAGCACACAAGTGCTAAAATTCTAAACATTGAGTCTATCAAAAGTCATTTTCCAAAACACTTTCAGCACCTTTGCCAGCTTTACCTCCCAGAATGTGTTAGTTGATCACTGTCTCAACCATTGTGACAAGATGTCTGAGACTTTGTGCTTACTATTCACTTTGATTTATAACTTTCTTGATTTATGCAGTCTGCTTCGAAGAATTATAGTGCTTCGAAGAATTATAGTGCAAGTTCTTCTGAAACTATTTTCACTTCTTTTTATATGACATAATTTTAGATAGTACTTAACCGGGTCTTTGTGTTACCATACTTAATGATAATATGTCAACTATGTACTTACCGCTGGTACATGTATATGCAGATTGAACTATATGCTACATGTGTTCGCAACCACAATATGGCCTTGAGAAATCATTAAACCATCTTTCTCCTTTTCCTTCTTAGAAGAAATAAGTCCAAACATAGACTACGTACAGAATGAGACATTTAGTCTCCCAAGGAATTACATATTTTACATCATCTTTACAGATCTAGTTCACCACAATATTTTCATTGTAAAAATTATCATTTCTTTTCAGAGAGAAGATCAGAAAGAAAAAGACAAGAATCTCACAAATTTCATTTTGATGCCATGTAGCATACAGAACACCCTTACCTATGGCTCCTGGTGATGATGGACACTGGATATCCAGTTTCACTTTCATTTTAATGCCATGAATAAATGTAAATGGTAGTTTCACTAAAGATGCATACTAATTGATATTAAAGAAGGTTTCAATTTAATGTTTTCACAGTATACCATAGAGTGTAGTTTTCTAAAAAAAGTTGTGGCCAAAAGAAGTATTAAAAAATTACTGTTTGCTCGCCTTTTGTCTCTTAAATTATTTATGTATTTTCATTGTGGTTTCATTTCTCAGTAAGAAATAACTTAAAATGACAAAGTACAAATTGGATCAATATAAATATGGTGCTAGGTTGTCACATACACTATGGTCTTGCACCGCATCAAAGAAAAAAGACAACGAAAAGCTCATTTTCTAGTTAGCAAGTTATGGGAAATGTATGTACAGCATTACAAGGTATCTGTGTGTGTCTTTTAGCTTATAATAATGGCAGAAGGGAAAAAGTCCCACTAAACTTTAGAAAACACTGTTGGGATGATACAATCCTGCTATATTATTTCATGTTTTTATTTATTCATTTATTATTATTATTTTTTTTTTGATAATCTTTTTTCTGATAATATTATTTATTCTTGTAATATTGTGCTATAACTTTCATTAAAAAAATTATTGTTGTTTAGATTTTCATGCAAAGGGTTTGAGAAAAACCATGAATTTTTGAGATTTGAATCCAAGTGGGAAAAGAAAAGATTATTCAGTTTTTTCAACTTTTAAGGCTTATATTTATAAGCTAAATTGTGTTATTTATAGAAAGTTTTGATTTTTTATATTTATTTATTTAAGAAATGTTTACCTATTAAAAGTTGTATATTATATTATATTATTTCAGTGGAAAACATGACTGATTGGACTTTTTAATACTCAATTAGTAAATTCAATACGAGGTTGGTTAAAAAACTTCTTATTTGAATATATTTTGAATATTTTTTTCTTTTGTCTTGAAGTAAAGCCAATCAGTGCTCTTTGAGTTAAATGTTAACATTACAATGTACCGGGTATCTCAAAATTTGGTGACTTCGGAGAAGTCTGCCTAGAGGAAACCTTTCTACAGAAATTGACAAATAATCAGTGATAAGTGTTAAATTCTGAAGTCATTTTAAACAAAAGCCTAGATGTCACTTTTTTCTCTTTTAACTGTTTTACTTTCCACTCAATATTAATTGAATAATACACAAGAGAATAAACCATGCTGGTTGTGATACATGCATTCATTCTCAGAAGTAAAGGATAAAATTAATGTCAGTTGTTAATACAGAGTGCCTAAACATTCCTAAGAGCTGAACACAAGCTTGGTTATAGATCAAAACCAAGGACTTTGTGAAATTCAGTGCAAATATTCCACATTTAAACCTGGTTGAATTGCCAAAGTACCGAACCATCAACAGAACAATTTTCTATATTCACTCAATTATTTAGCAAAAAAAAAAAAAAAAAAAAAAAAAAAAAA